ATAACTTGTAAATCATGCTAGATTGAGATTTGTGATGAAAAGCCTTTGCTAGCATTCCTTTACTTTTAGATGCTTGTAAAAACCTTTGTGTAAGACTTGAAAGATTGATCTACTTCCTTCTCCCTCCTTCCCTCTCCCCTCTCTCCTTACCATTTTAAGCATCATTTATTTTATGAAAGGATGAACACAAAAACACACAAATTATAAGCACAAACAAATAACTATGACTGGGAACCTATCAATCATCATATTTTCAAATGCTAATATGGCTAAAATATGTTTGGCTGAGTGTGGTTACCATACTTTTTCAGATCTTGAACTAAAATGGAGAGATGGAAGATACATGGAAATGAGGATGATATGGCTTGTGTCCGCATTCCTAGTCTTCTTTAATGTGAATGTTTAATTTTTACTCTTCCTCCCAAATTCTGTGTCTCATAGAAAGAATTGATGGATGAAATGTAAAGGAAAAAGTTGAATAGCTTACTTAAAACAGTAACAATATATTGGCAATTAGCGAGGAGCACAGAACAGGTTGTTTTCATGATGTATCAGAAGTTGCATTTGAAACAGGTCCACAGTCTATACTACAATAATGTTATATATTTATCTGCACAATAACATGTTCTTATACTGAAAACTAAAATTCTCAAAAACATTTTCCAGCTAAAGTTAAGGTCCCCAAAATGATACTTGGAGGTGTCACTTTTTTAATGACCCATAGATATCAACATGACTTTCATTTTTTCAAAAAGTTCTCCCATTATTTAAAAATTAAAATAGGAAAGCTTGCATTTTCAAAGTGAAATATCAACTCCATCATAATTTTTATTTTGAAACATGGAGTTCTTGTGAAAATTTTAGGGGGCTTTAAAAAGGGGCAAATCTGAAAGGGATTCATAAAGATATTTTTTTAATTCTCAATATTTATAGCTTAATGTTTATAACAGTTACATGCTAAGCTTAAAAGACAAAAGAGAAGTTTTGAAAAATAAATAAATCCAGAGGACAGTTTTTCGAAATGAAAGACTGTCCTTTATAATCTTCTATCTATATACTGTATAAAAGTGAAATGCCACTCACACATCATCACAAAATCACCAGAACCGTACAAACCGTACAAACTTGAAATTTGGCACATATGTTCCTCTTGGCTTCTAGGTGGTCACTTAGAAATGATTTTTCATATATTATTATTAACATGCTCTGATGCTAAGGAGTTCTACTCCCCCACCCCACCTGAAAAGAAATCTGTTCCAAATGCAAAACACAAGCAGAGGAGTTTCAGTTTTAGTTTCACAACAGCAACCAGCTTTAGTACAGAACATTTGAGCTAAGCCATGCTCAGTCTCCTTCTTACACACATAGCAAATACTGTTTCAGTTTCCAAACAGCCCTTAACTCTCTCACACACTGACAGGACACTAGCCAGATGATTACTGATGGATGCTAGTAGGCAGAGGCACAATTTTGACCCTTATTTTCCTCCCACAAAACTAAGCCTGATCACATAGTTTCACAGTAAAACATGGGTATAGAGCTAGTAAATAACATATGTTCACTCTAGTTATGAGTCACATGACAACTTACAGTGAAACAATTTAAATGTTCCTTAACATCATATCTTATTATTTTCCACACGGCGCGTTATTTTACAGTTTTCCTTTGATCTTTTTTTGGCTGAGTAGTCAAATTTTAGAACATAGCAAACTGATGATATCATCTTTATTGCCAATAAAGCTATTAGAAGCCACCTGAGCCCATATGTTATCCAGAAAATGAAACGATGGGCAACTAAAGAGATAACTGAGCTATCCTACCACAATTGATTCAATTAGTACAATTTGCCATGTACATACTGTACAACACACTAGGACAAAACCAATCACATGGGGTAGAATTGTCAATACTCTAACCTAAAATATTGAAGGATGCTTAGTAATTCAGTATGTTGTGAGAACACAGCCATTGTTTGTGAATACAAACAGTTATCTTGGAAACTGGAATATTTCTCGTTTCAGATCAAATTTCAGATTTGTGTGGAGAGGAAGAAAATCTCCTTGTTGCCTAGGTAACTGCATTTCTTTGCCCTCAGCTCAGTTTGCTTTGTAGCCTTTGCCATACCAATTAAAAGCAAATGTAAAGGGTGGTCTTAATTGCCCTTCACTGATCTCAAGTAGCTAAATCTCAAATAGCTAAATCAGATTCTTCCTTAGATGAGAGCTGATTGGCTAGGATCTTAAAGAACAAAATGTGATTTAAATGCACACACCAACACATGCTCATGCACAAAGAAAGAAGTTAGTTACAGGATACAGCTGTACACAGAAAGGAACTGCAGCAAAAGAAAAATAGGGATGTGGTTACTAATTGGTAGATATAGAGAACATTTTATATCCCTGAAATATTTTGTTTCATGATGTGAAATGTTCATGAACAAAGTATCAATGATAATCTATTCTGTCTAGATCAGGGGTCTGCAACCTTAAACACTCAGAGCCATTTGGACCCGTTTCCCACAGAAAAGAAAACCAGGGTGGGTGTGGGTCAACTCAAAGTCACTCCAACCCAGTCAGATGACAACTCCAGCCATGCCTACCCACGTTTTGTGGCTCCTGGTGTTTTCTGTGGGAAATGGGCCTCTCTCTCTTTTTTTCTCTCCCTCCCTCCCTCCTTCCCTCTCTCTCATTTCTATTTTTCTCATTTCTCTCTCTCTTTCTTTCTCTTCCCCTTCTCTCTCTCATTTATTTCCCTCTCTTTTCCATCTCTCTCATTCTCTCCCTCCATCATTTTCTCATTTTTCTCTTTCTTTCTTTCTCTCCCCTTTTCTCTCT